TACTAGGTCGATTCGCTCATTGGTGTAACTCCAGCTTTCTCAAGTGTTGCATCATCTCGTATCAATGGCGCAAAAAGCCTATGCTGTACATCTACGATGGACAGGAACTTGAGCGCGTTGATAAAGTGAAGAATCGTGGAGTGTTGCTGGATCACCAATTCACGTTCAAGATGCATTATTCAGCTGTTGTTGACAAAACCATCCGTTAACTAGCAAGTGGTTTCGAGTGGACGAGTTGTTGCGGAAGTGCCTATTAAATGCTGTGTATTAATTTTAATTAATTCAAATAAATCCAATTTAACTATGGTTGTCATAATTCCATTCGATTGATCTTTAGGTTGGTTTCACTCAATGAATTCTTGATAAGGAATAGTCAAAATTGAGTTTTCTTCTTTAACTTAATTTAACCTAGCCCCACTTAAGCCACGTGTTGAGTTAAAGGAACTCAATTATGGGTACTTTGTTCTTACCGTGTAGCGTAAAAGAAAAAGAGATATCGCAACAAATTTTCACTATTGTACCTGTTTTCCCTTACATTAAGTGGGAGTTATTCATGCCTTCACCGCTACTTTTAAAATTTACGTGTGGGGGAAGTTTTTCAATATTTCAGATTTTAATACTGACTTTTCACAAAAGTTCAGGGACCTTCCTAGAAGTCAACTGCAATCAGAGCTGGTAAATATCACAGCTGTCATGTGACAATGAGAAAACAGGTCCTCTCACTATCACGAGACGAATCTACCGATCATATGTACTTCATAGATTTTCTAGAAACATCGAAACACTTTCGAAAACTTCGTTAAAATTCATCGCAGTATGTAGTAAGTAGTTACACAGCAGAAGTTCTGGCAATTTTATAGAAGTGCAGCAAATTTTATAGAAGTTCAGCTCATTTTGTAAAAACTCAGCAAACTTATTAGAAACTCATTGAACTTCAGAATTTTGTAGAACTTCACGCAGTTTTGTTGAAGGACTTCATAAAACATTGTTGAAAATTAATGAATTTTATAAGAATTCAGGGATTTTTTTCAACTTCATTTGATTTTTTGAAACTTTAGGGACTTTGTGGATGCTGAGGTCACATCGTATAAATTTAATATGCATTCGTAAAGAAATCAGAGAATTTCGAAGACATTCAGAGTGCTTTGTGAAAATTCGGGAAATCTCCTTAGAATTGGTTGAATTGGTTGGGTGAAGTTTTTTTTCTCTCCCTTGCTTTGTTGTCCGTCGATCTTGTTTTCCGTACTGATTACCAATTCTACCGACGCCAGGGAGGCAGCTGCCACACCTGGATCCTATCTATCGTCCCAACGGCTTTACTTCCCTTCCGAAGAAAGGCGTGATTAGAGGTTTTATACCTCAGAAAATACCGGCGGCGCCGACTGGGATTGAACCCAGGCCCTTTGCGATGAAAGGCAATCATGCTTACCACTACACCACCGGCGCCGCTTTCGTTGAAGTTAAGGGAACATTTTTAAATTTTAACAAACTTCATATAAATCCTTCTTTTAGTTTCATGGCACTTCGTTAAAGTTTAATGGATTGACAATAGATCAGGAAATTCCGTAGAAATTCAGGAAACTTTGTAGAACTTCAGGGAGCTTCACAGGAAATCAAGGAAATTCTAAATAGTTCAGGGGACTTTTTAAACTGTAGTGAACTTCATAGGAACTCTGAGAATTTTATAGAAGTCAAGCGAATTACGTAGCAATTCGAGGAACTTCGTGAAACTCCATAGAAGTGCTGGGATTTTTTAAACTTCGTAGAAATTCATACAAAATTCTACAATTGAGCTTCGTGGAAGTCCAGGGAATTTCGTAGAAGTTTAGAGAGTATAGTAAAAGTTCAGCGTACTTCTTAGATTTTCAAACTTTGTTTCGCCCAGATGTATAAGAAAAATCGTATAAAAGGTTCAAGGTCTTTCCAGAATTTTGGAGAAGTTCATGGATGTCCTAAATCCTAATTATGGAACTTGGAAGAAGTTGATGGAGCTTCTTAGAAGTTGGGAATATTTCTAAGAAGTAAAGATAAGGGAGCTTTGTAGATGTCCAAGGATTATTGGATCAATTTTTCCACCCATCTGGCTTTTTTTTTCTGGTGGAAAATGCCACCTTCACCATCTGCTGAGTACGGTGCTGTGCATAACTATTGCAGAAATGTAAATTCAGGAAATTTTATATATCGGAGAAATGGCTCTAAGATTGGACCCAACGCTAAAAATATGCTATTTATCAATTTTATCTAGATGAACGCGTCATTGGGACGGTACCAATGGATATTTTTTGTCACTATTGAAAATTTAGCTGATTGCTGAACTAATGTATGGCCCAAATTAGGGACATTTAGACCGACAATACATCCATTTTCCCTATGTTCGGGAAACTTCGTAGAGAGAATTAAAAAAAAAACCGGGTGCTTTGTAAAAATTTGGGAAATCTTCGTAGATTTGGGAGCTTTACACAAGGATCGGAGTTAAATGCTTTGTTTAATTTTAAGAAACTTCATAAAAGTCCTTCTGTGAGTTTCATGGCACTTCGTTAAAGTTAAATGGACTTTAAAATAGATCGGGAAATCCCGTAGAAATCCAGGAAACTTTGTAGAACTTCAGGGTACTTCGCAGGAAATCTAGGAAATTCTAAATAATTCATGGAACTTGGTAGAAGTGTAGTGTACTTCATAGGAATTCTGAGAATTTTATAGAAAGAAAAGTGAATTACCCAAGTAACCAACAAGCCTGCTAATCACCCTTTTTGGAATATAAAGCTGATGTACGAGTAATATTTTGTTTAGAAACCATATAATAACCCTATATCGCAAAGAGGGCGATTATCGGGTAGTTAGCGGGTTTGGTGGTTACTTATGTACGTAGCTATTCGGAGTACTTCGTAAAACTTCATAGAAGTGCTGGGATTTTTTTTATACAGCCAATGAACTTTTTCCAAAATTGTAGAAACTCCTTGAACTTGTGGAAGTTGAGGGAATTTCGTAGAAGCTCAGAAAGGATTGTAAAAGCTCAGAATACTTCAAAGAAATCTTCAAAGTTTGATTTGGGAACTTACTGGAAGTTTTAGGAACTTTGTTTCGCTTAGATGTATAAGAAAATTCGTAGAAGGGGTTCAAGGTCTTACCAGAATTTTGGGAGAGTTTTTGGATGTCCTATCATCATGGTTGAATTGAGAGAATTTTTCAGCAAAAAATAAATTTTAATATTACATCCAAGAGGATGCACTTCAATCATGTCGAAAATCTCATGTAATTTTTATGACCACAAAAATAAACAAATGCAGTAAAAGCAGCGTAATGTAAGTTCATGCACTGTATCAATGGTGATTTTGTCCTTTTTGGCAAGTAATATTACACCATATTTTTGACACGATTGAAGTACTCCACTTTCATGTGATATCAAAATATTTTAGCTATCATTTAAATAACTTAGAAACGCCAAAAAGACCTTAAAACCGCATAACGCATGACGTTTCCTACCACTCGAACTTTAGCATGGAGCAATATCTTGACTTTTTTTATTCTTAGGGTTTAATTTACGATCTCCCTAATATTCTTCAATTTATTAACTCAATGTCTAAACCTCTCTTGAAAAACATCGTCCAAAAACTAGTCGGCCAAGTGATTAAATATAGCAAAAAACCTTTGCTCGATTCGTGATGTCTAGTTCTCATATCAAGGAGAGGAGGTCTGACAATGACGTCACGTCTGGACATGCATAAGAAAGCATGATAAGGTAAGAGTCGACTAGTTTTCTTCAGATCACCTCGGTCTTGAACTGTACTAAATCAATATAATAATAAAAAATCTCGTATGGCTGAGACCTTAGAATTTTTTTTTTAATTTCGATGAGTTCTAGAATTGTTCGTTGGAATTATATTCCCGTTATTCACTAAAATGATTTATAGATTTATTACATTTTCGACAAATTCTTTGGGTTTCATAAGATGTATTGCAACCACTTCACACGAAACTTAAATTTTCATCGATATATATATATGCCCTTCCACCGCCATTCAGATTGAATTGCAGTATTTTCCTTGTCTTTAACGTGTGGCATACCATGCGGCTCCTGAATTTTCCATTGAAATAGAGCCTGCACTTATTTAGTTGTAATCTATTTACGAAGCTCTACCTCGGAGCTCTCACTTGGTACAGTTTGCTGTTGCCTTGAACTCACAGACCATGCTAATGTGTAACTGTAGTGCTTCCTATCAAAGGTGAAAAGTACTTTTCTTATTGAAGCACTCTTTGGAACATTTTTCAAACCCTCAGAACGAATTAAGAAATAAACTCAGCAACACTAGACCGTTGAAACTCTCTCTCGCATAATGCCCTAATCCCTATGCATAACATTCCCCCGCACATCATCCAGTGCTTTTCCCCAAACAGTTAGTTGGACGTACCTCGCAAACTCGGCTAAGTGAGCATTCACCATTCATATAATTCTTCAGAAGTTATGCTGGCTGAGCAAAGCAGTACTTTTTTTTCTCCCCCTCCAGTCGCAACGCAATCGCAATGCACTTTGGACGAGCTTTTGGCAGCCGTTTCCCGTATCTGCCCGCATATTGATGTACGGCCGCCACCCGGTACTGGCAGAGGATAAAAGTTATTCATGTTTATGTAAATATATCGCCGTTGACGCCGACGGAAAGTGTCGGGAATCCGTCGCATCCGAAACTTGTGATGCCGGTGTTTTTTGCTGCCTGCATTTTGCTTGGCATGCCGGCGAGAGCTTTAGGATTCTTCGTTTTGTCATTCATAATTTGTTTCTTTCGGTGAGCGGGAAAGAATGGGAGTTAGAATTGCAAAAGCATCCGAAGAGTTTCGCCTAATGCTCAGCACAACACAAACAAGAATGGCTTTAATGGAATTTTAATATCTTTGTTGGTGGCCACACAAGTGACGCTTCTATGGCCGGTGTGCTCTAGTTTGTAGCCCTCGTCCGAGTGAGGACATTTACATAAATTCTAAATAGTACGAAAGGTGGTGCTTACCTGCGATTCATATCCGCCCGGCCGATCGTTCATCAGGCTCGGTGTCGAGGGCAAAGAATTATCACAGGTGGACATTTTACGTTTTTTCTTACTGTCTACTGTCATTTCCCGGTCTTCCGAGGGCGAGTAACCGCAGTCGTCGGTCATCGGCGTGAGCAGATCGGCACTGGCACTGCGCTGGTGTTCTCGCGCCTGCTGTTCCCGTTCTCGCTGTAGCTCCCGATGGACCTCCCGCCGGTCTCGCTCCCGTAGCTCTTCCCGCTCGCGATGTTCCTTGTCCCGCTGCAGCGGATGGTGGAGAGTATTGTTGTTGTTATTGTTGTTGTTGTTGTTGTTACTGTTGATGGTGTTGTTGTTGTTGACACTGGTCGGCGGTGCCGAGTCACGTCCATCGCGGGAATCACCCCTCGCTCGGTCGGCCCGGGTTTTGTCCGCCTCGGAGGCGTACCGATCGGCACTGCTCTCGGTGAGACCTCGTACCTACAAAGTGCACACAGAACGGAAGGTTAGTCTTGGATGGATCGCTGTACGATTTAGCTTCGAACTTACTTTTAAACTCTCCGCCGTCTTGAGGAAGTTCTGCAGGTTGTGCTGGCCAACGTTCACCTCGCCCTGGTACATGAAGTTGAGCAGGGCACGCATTTCACTGACCTCGACGTCGCGCAGGTAGATGATCGGATGCGGGTGTTTGTTTTCGAGGAAGATCTGTTCAAAGTACGGACTGCACGCGGACAGTATCGCTTGATGTGCCTGGGGAAAGAGGAGGAAAAAAAACGGAGGTGTTAGATTAGTGTGTCTTTTTGGTGTTGCAGGAGAACTATTTCTAAATGAACTGGCCGAATGCTGGTTATTTATTGAATAATTTTTTATATAATACCATTTTCTATACACTGAAAATATTTTTTCGTTTATTTTCTCACGCTCCTTTCGTAAAAATGGGTTTCGTATATAAAACATATTTTTCGCTAATTGTGCGAATTATTCGTATTGCATTTCGTCAGGTACAATGCTATCATAACGCATTATTCGTATAATACATGAACTGAATTTCGTATGGAAGTAACACGAGGATCATCCGTGAATTCGTGAACATTACAAAACCATTCGTTTACCTACGAAACCCATTCGTGCACATAGCTAGTATGCACGCATGTCATTCGTGACAATTACGAAATCATTCGTTCTTGTACTAATTGTATTCGTTTGTGGTGTGAATGTTTACGTACAATGACAGCCAGAATAAAACATAATATTTGTGAGTGAAGAGTGAGATAAGTTACTCGATTCGTTTGGCATTAGCATGTGGAACTGTGGCGGTTTGGTGTTGGATATTATTGGACCGATTCCCAGTGTCCAAGTGCCCATAATACTCTGCAACTGCTACCAAATAAACAGATTTCCAATCAACAAGGGAATACGTAACATGGAGGAGCAGACATTGATCAACCTGAGAATCTTGTCGTATACGAGCTGTCGATATCGGCCGCGGCGCTGACTACGGTTTGTTTTACTTGCTGGAGATCAACATGACGGATGCGTTCTACTACTACTACGTTGCCATCCAAGAGTTCAAGAACTATAGCAGGAACGAGTAGTTTACGGTCCTAGGAGTTGGTAAGTAATTAACTTCCGTTTTGAAATTCGTTATGGAACTAATCTTTTATTTAATTTTATCCACAGCATGGCGATTTCTTCCCAAATGAAAAGGTGGCCGATTTGGTGCGTGTTTTATGAAGTGAATACCCGGACTCCAACCTGGACGGAATTTTGAGCGGGGGCACTTTCGACAGAATTAATCGCCTAGGTCAACCTACATCGGCGTCATCGGTTTGGGATACTTTTCAAGAACGTGTCTGCGGCCGAGGAGCTTCCGGTCGACTTTCTTCTAGAGGTTCAAGGTATCTCGACCAAAGTGGGTCTTGTTCATCGGTGGGCTCGATATGGGTTTTGATTTACGCTGCTGTTTTTTTGATATCAGTGCATATGAGAATGTAGTTTACAATTATAAATACATTTTGAATTCCAAAAAAAGATTATTTTATTAATGAACGAAAGTTTCGTACAATCTACACACGTTGTTTTATAAGTATACGAATGTTTCCTATTATTTTCAATTGATCGATGTTTTCTCACGAATAATTTGTATTTATTTTATGAAACATTCGTAGCGCGTGTAGCAGTGCTTCGTAAAATATAAGAATATTACGCAGTAAATGATTTTGAGAATTTGAACGAAACCTGCTTCATAGATATTACGAATCTATTTCGTTGCAGATAACAACGAATGAATTCGTCAAACAAACGAATGCATTCGTTTAATAAATGAAATTTTATTTTCAGTGTAAAGGAGCTGAAATCTAGATCAGGAATATATCGCATTTAGGATGGCGAACGGTTGTGTTTTTTATCATAGGGTAACCAACTTGAATTGGACCCCTACATATTTTGGACCCTTTTCATATATTTTCCTCGCTTACTGTCTAGTTTCTTCAAATTCATCTGGGTTGATGTTGTAATTACATTCTTTCAATTAGTTGCTATGTCTCAAGATCATTAGTTCACCTCAAATTGCTTACAATTGCTCAATTTATGCAGTTTTAGAAAATGTTATCGAAAAAGTTTCATGTTTTGACGTTTGTCTAGAGGAATCAGCGTTAGTGTACTTGTTTTAATTTGGTCTAAAATATACAATTCAATGATTTTTTTTATCAAATCAGTTTATCTGACTTTGGAAGATGTATTTCACGTGTTTATAAATATTTCACCTTAAGATTTTACTTAAAAAATATTAAATAAAAAGTGTCCAAAAAAGATCGTAAAAAAATGTTACCAACTTATTTTGGACACTTATCAAATGAGAATCATCAAAAGAGCGACAAAAAAAAATCCGGTAGGTCGATCGTGCTATTATATCAGATTTCTGATTAAATTGGTAAGTAAATCAATCAAAATTATATGAATTCATTGTTTTTAAATATATTTCTTGTTTATCAGGCGATTCAAAATGGGAAAAACGGCAAAACACGTAGAGTGGTCCACTCTGAGTTTTCCTAGTTTTCCTAGTTCCTAGTTTTCCACAAAAGTTTTCCTATCTCCCAAAGGCATTTAACTAAGGGGCTGTTCATAAACTACGTAGACGCTTTAGGGGGGTGGGAGCGCTTGGCAGATGTCTACGGTCCATACAATTTTTTAAATTTTGTGTTTGAGACTGTCTTCTACGGAAGGGGGGGGGGGGGGGGTTGAAATCTCTCAAAAACCGTCTAAGTAGTTTATGAACAGCCCATACAAAAATAATATGGACTGCAAGCAAAGAGTCAGGTCTCCGTATTAAGATTTACTTCTGAATGATTTTTTTTATGGTATGATCAGTTGTTTCCTTATGTTATATTATATTTCCTCCGTTACTCGCGCCAACTTTTGTAACACGAGTACTCACGCGTTGTACTTTGTACAACATTGTGAGTTTTCCATTTCCATTTTGCAGCCGAGCTACCAATCGATCTGAAATCAACGAGTATTCCTCAAAAAACTTGCTTTTAACTAAACAAGCTAAATATTTATTACAGTTAACCCCCAAAGTTACTGTCTTCGAAAAAGTTGTTCAGGAGTTCAAAGCCTATAGTTCAGAATTTTTTCACTATATGGTGCTAGTATATACGTGAAATTCTCATATAAAATATCTCGAAATCCTGATCATATAAAAAGTTAGTGTCTTCGGCAAAGTTGTTCAGGAAGTCAAGGCCTTTTTGCTGGACTTAAGTTCAGAGTTTTCTCACTTTGCAACGCTTGTATACATGAGGAATTCTCGCATATAAAATATCTCTAGATCCTAACCAGACAGAAAGTTACTGTCTTCGGCAAAGTTGTTCAGGATGTTAGGATCTTTTCGTTGGTGTACAGTAATTCAGAATTTTCCCTTTACGTGGCACTAGTATGCGGGTCATTCAGAGATATTTTATATACAAGGATTTCACGTGTCTTTCAACGTCACCTAGTGAGAAAATTATGTACTTTCCACCAACGATAGGGTTTGATCTCCTGGACAACTTTGCCGATTACAGTACATTTTTAGCAGGTCTTGAGATATGTCATATGCGAGAATTGCACGTATATACTAGTACCATGAAGTGAAATATTCGGAACTACCGTCCACTAGCCAAAAGGCCTTGATCCCCTGAACAACTTTGCCCAAGACAGTAACATTCTATCTTGTCATGCTCTCTAGATATTTTATATGAGAGAATTTAACGTGTATACTAGAACTACATAGTAAGAAAATTCTGAACTATTCTACACCAAGCAATAGGCTTTGACCTCCTGAACAACTTTTTCAAAGACAGTAACTTTCTATTTGGTCAGGATCTCGAGATATATCATATGCGAGAAGTGTATATGTATACAAACGCCACGTGGTGAGAAAATTCTGAACTACTGTCTACCAGTCGAAAAGTCTTGACCCCCTGAACAAGTTTGCCCAGTACAGTAACTTTCTAGCTGGTCAAGAACTCGAGCTATTGTATATGCGAGAATTACACGTATATACTAGCGCCTCGTAGTGTGAAATTTCTGAACTACTCCACCAACGAAAAGAGCTTGACTTCCTGAACAACTTTGCTGAAGGCATTTACTTTCTATCTGGTCAGGATCTAGAGATATTTTATACACGAGAATTTCACATGTATACTAGCACCACGAAGTGAGATAATTCTGAACTATTGTACACTAAGAAATAGGCTTTGACCTCCTGAACAACTTTGCCCAAGACTGTAACTTTCTATCTGGTCAGGATATCGAGATATTCGATGTTGTAACCAATTAAGTCAATCCCACGTAGTATGGACACAGTTTACGCGGTTTCCATTTACATTTTCTCTATTATCCGCATTTTGGGGGTTAAAAAGTTTAGCTTTTTTAGTTCAAAACAAGTTTTTTGAGGAATACAAGTTGGTTTCAGATCGATTGGCAGCAACAAAATGGCAATGGAAAACTCATATGTGTTGTACAAAGTACAACAGCGCGAGTAACGGGGGGTTAACTTTTATGCATACCGTAAAACGGGGTGTAATTGATCAGCGGGGCAAAATTGATCGCTGAAATTTCTCGTGATATTTTTTCATGTGTAACATGTTTTTCGTTACTAAGCGTACGAATGTATCTTTGTATACATTGTAAAAATATTATGCATAAGTACAATATTGGGTATACTCAGCGATCAAATTCACCCCGCTGATCAATTTAACCCCGTTTTACGGCACCTTCTTTAAAAAATTTCCCACCTAGACGGACCTAACAAATGCGAGATAGGAAGAAGTGACCGTCGTAATTAATTTTAGGCTCATAGGTTGAAAGAACTTCAGCATGTCCAAAATATATTCGTTCCCATTCAGTGTGTCCAAAATATATTATGGACACTGTCCAAAATCAAGTGGAAGGGTCCAAAATATGTGAATATCATGATGTGAAAAGAATTATTTTTTCGAGTATATATCAATAAATAAAACATCTAGTGACATTTTACATCCAAGATGAGTAGCTTTCGAACACAACCGCATGTAAATTGCATAATAATAATAAACAAATAATAATATTTTGACATAAACGTGATCTCACTTCCTCTAGGGGTCCAAAATCAGTTGGTTACCCTATATAAGACAATATGCTCGCAGTTTTACAAACTGGAATGTCTCCAGAAGAAATTGTTGCCATCCATTCAGTCCCTCCAGGCTCCCTTCAAGTTCTGACCACAGGTTGCGACTTGTTATTTCAGTAGGATGTACTATGATTACACAGGTTCAGAGAAATTCAATTTGTTCCAAAAAACCTCAACCCACAATTGTACCCAGTTCAGAGGTGGTACATGTTCTTTTTCTATTGGGATGCTAAAGTTTGAGTTATATAATATCTGGACGCAAAAAAACGGATATATCTTGGAACCAACTTAATGAAATAAAAATGTCGATTACTCAAAATGAAGGTCATTTATTGCACTTTAAAGGAGAAAGAGCGAAAAAAATTATTCCGATTTGGCTTTGATGAAATCTTGAAGTTTTCTTCGAATACCACTCATCATATTTTGGACACTCTGTTGGCTAACCTGAGCGGCCGTTTTGTTCCACCATCTTTTCGTCTTTGTCGCATCCCGAGTCACCTTTCCACTCTTCTTCAATTTCTGTTTGACAACTACCCAATATTTCTCAATTGGGCGGCATTGAGGGCAGTTGGGCGGATCTATATCCTTTTCGAAGAAATCTATCCCGTTGTCTCGATACCACTGTAGAACTTCTCCGCCCGGTATGGCAGTTTGCCAAATCAGACCAAAACTTACAGGTCCATTGTGAGCCTTAATGTACGGAAGAATACGTTTTTTCAGGTACTCCTACTTGTACATTTTGGAATCCATAGATTGTCACAAAAACCTGGGTTTTTTGACCGCAGCAGCAAATAACATTGCCAGATCATAAGCATTTTTGCAAATTTATCGGCAAAAACCGAATTTGAACTTGCTAGGAACATCATCTCGACCAGTGGCTTTTAGAACTTTTGTCCGGGAAGCTGTCCATTTTTTTTCCTCTGTTCGGGACCAAACACTACTGCGACCAGTAAATTGATCTATTGTAGTATATCCCGTGTCCTTAGTTTAGTGCATGTCGTATTACTCCATCACTATTGAGAAATGATAAGTATTCGATTTTTTTTACAGTTGTCATTCTTGCATTTATCGCAAGGACCCGACTCTAATTGAAAGGTCCCGCTATTTATACCCTTCGGAGTGTTGAAACCAGGGCTCTAAATTTTCGAACCTCTAAAATGAACTCGTGTTTTGTTTCTTTCATACATACGTGTTCGACGCTTCATTTCTATGACGCCTAGCTAGACTATCAACAAGAAACGAAAATAAAAGGAAAGGCTGGCTGTGGAACTTCTCGTCGTTGCTTTGCTCATCGCTTTCAATGTAACTAACGTCGATTTTCTAGTTAAACGAAACCTCATTATGGATTTCAATCCCCTTTCACGAACACTCTATCACTCTATCTTTCAATTTGTTTAAAATGCGTTATGTCCCGTTTTCGATCATTTTTTTTTAGATAAATATATGGATGGAAGATAAATTAAAAATATTACGTGTAATCTTCAAGTGTATCACGTGAGAAAAGCTTTAAATGTGTTATTTCATTTTCCGTCATATTCGTCATGAAACCTCTGTTGATGTGTTTCATGAAAGAGAAAACTATCAAAGTCGAGCGCTCTTTTGCTCATCCGTTTCACCGAAGCTTCAAAGCGACGGGAGAAAGAGAGACAAGCGATTGAACATTTGTTTGTGCGTGACTGAGGTTCTAGAATGCTGCGAGAAGTTCAAGGTTATTCCGAGGAAAACTAAAAGAAAATTGAATTAGAAGGATAGCTTTATTGAAATGTTTAGGAATATTTCAATGGAAATCAGAATGGACTATTCTGAGGTCTACAAAACTACTTGAAAGTTCCCAAAGCTTTCCTGAAGATGATGAAAGCGCCATAAAATTCTTTTGTAGTTTGAGAAACTAGCCTGATGCTCACAATACTTCTCATCAAATTCCTAAACTTTCCTGAACTTTATAGGACTTCCTAAAGTATCCTCAATGTTTTCAACGTTGCCTTGAAGTTTCGACAATTTTCGGCAAAAGATTCCCTGACGCTTCTGACGTTTTCGGATCAATCAAAGAATTTATGGAACACCCCATAATTCCACGGAAATTTTTGTTAGTCTCTGCAAACTTGCTTAAGTTAATAGGATTATTCTGAAGTACTCGAAACTTCCATCGCTGAATATCATGAAATCATCTAAAAGTATCTAAATATATAACATGTTCTCTGGAATTTCTTGAAGATATCACTGATTGCTAAAAGTTCTCGCATTTTTTTTTAATTAACATCGTTCATTTTCTCTAATCAATTTAGCAAAATTTTCGCATTTTTTTTAAGTTCTTGAAATCTCCAGATATAATGTTTAGCTCTAGTTTAAAATACTCTCACGTTTTCCGGATGTTCATATAGTTTTATCACGTTTCAGAAATTCACTCGGAGCTTTGCTGAAATTTCCGGAAATCTTTAAGGTTTCTACAATTTCCTTGAAATTATTTGAACTGCCCTTTGATTCTCCAATATGTCTTGATGTTCTCGAAGCTTCCCTAAAACTCTCAATTGTATTGAAGATCTCGGTTCTGCTCGGAAATAAATGGAATTCCCGTGAACACATTTAAATTTCCCTAAAATTCTCGGAACATATTAAGGGTTCTCGATTTTTTTTCAGCACATCATGGAACTGTCCTGAATTTTTCTAAATTTTCGATTCGAGATCTTTAAACTGCTCCAAAAGTCTCCAAAAAAAGAACTAAAGACACGGAAACTGCTTTTAAGATCTGAAATTCCCCAAAAATCTCTAGATCTAGCTTTTCTGAGGTACTTAGTACTTCGCTTGACACCTTTAAAGTTCTCTGAAATTTTAGGAACTTCATAAAAGTTCCCGAAAATTTTCGGATGCTAAAAGAACTGCTTTGAGGTTCTTAAAGCTTCCAGTAAGTTCCCCACATTTTCAGCGTGTTAAATTCTTTTATGTTCCCGCAGTTTGTTTATGGAGCTTCACTGTGATTCTTAGCATTTCTTTTCATTACTTAGAACTTCTTCAAAGTTCCTTCAATCACGAACTTAAAACAAATCATTTATTTTTTCCTTGATTGTGGCATTTTGAAAATTTTCATTATCTTGAACATGGAATACGAAGCTTCAAGATATTGAAAAAATTTAGATCTTAGGCTTTCTCAAATTAAGTAAGTTTATTTTAACTTTATTAAGTGAGAAATTAAGTAAGTGTTAAAGTTCAACATTCAATGGATTTTTTTAAAAAACTGTTTGCCATGTCTTAAAAAAGATTGGTAAATTGCTGTTGTTTTTGATCTACCAAAAAAAGCATATTTTTAACGCATTTAAAAAAAACTTTCTTATTATAAACCTGGAATTTATCCGTTAAAGTACTGGAAAAATTTGGAAAACTCAGGTAATTATATTTAGAAAAATGAGTAGACACACTGTATATAGGAAAAGACGATTAAACGCCACAAAGAAAAGTGGCTTTAGTGGCTTTAAAAAAAGAGACTTTTTAGTGACTGGCTTGAAAAAGGTGACCAAGTCACTAAAAAGTGACTCGCTACCAGCCCTGTGATGTAAATCAATGAATGGAAAAAAGCTCTCGATAGTCATAGCGAGCAAGTGATTGGTTGTTTATGGCTAAAAAATTTGATCAATTTTCAATAGTTAAGCATTGATAAACAACTTTCATCTTTGCACAGAAACAAAATCTTACATTCAATCTGAATAAAATGGAGTGATTAAAATTGAATTGCATTCATAAATGACCATGTTATAAGCGTTCAAAATCTGACACTATTTCGTCACACATTTTGTTTTTGATTTGCACCCCAGTTATAGTCCACGTGCGTTTTTTTGGATGTAAAATGTAGCACCGAAGGATACCAAATTTATAAACTTTAAATTCTTAACGCCTATAGTTTGATATGGAAAAATTATATCGATTGGATGCTGAACGAACTGAATATTTTAAAAATCAAACGAAAATTATGCTTTGAATATTAAAAAAAACCTAAGATGATCTCCTGGTAGATTGGAATCTTTTTCATCATATATCACGAAATGGTAGTATATATTTTGTTTTGATAGAGGAATGCACAAGAAGTGCACAACAACAGCAGCAATCACTTTGCAGTGACAAGCTGCTAGTTCTTATTTATTGTTCACAAACTGTTGACAACGGTGGGATACTTACTTTGACAATTCCATTATCGCAGGCGAGCGTGACATCACACAGTTTCTCATCTTCCAGCAGGGTTCTGAGCACGGTTGTCAGGTTGGACTGATGGTTGTTCCAGCGTAGGCAATACTGCTGGTCCATTGTTCCTGTGTCAGTGCTGTTCCTGTAAATACACCAGAAGTAAAAATCACGTTAGTCCCAATTGTCCTAATCACATGCATTCAGTCTAATTTAGCCCGGCTTAATAGGAAAGTAACCCTTATGCCACATCACGAAAGAAACATAACCTTTTCATTATTTGCCACTTCAGTCTTGCCTTTTCTCCTTCTCCGTTGAGGGGGAGGGGCGCTGCTGGTTGCTTGGCTGGCTTGGTAAACATGCCATTTTCTTCGTTTGAAAGGGAAGTTTGGTGGTTTTCACCGGAAAACGAAAAGACGAGCCCACACTCACACACTCACAGGACGGCAGACTCAAAATTGTAGAAAATGTACGGGTGCGGTGACAAATTAAATATACCTTCTCGACCACAAAAATTCTCGAAAAAAATACACACACACACACACTTCACATTTGAAGTTTAGCAAGACGACAGCGATGACGACAAGAAAATGGGAACCGGAAACATTTGTTACCGAAGATTGTGGCTTGCAGTCTGCTGCAGTGCTCCCTCCCAGAGTCTACTCAAGGGTTGATGATGATGGTGGTAGAAGAATGGCAGAATAAGAAAAACCCTGCTCGTGTAGCAGACTGATGGCGAATCAAGACCTCAGGGCAGACACACGGACTGGGCGCGGACAGGGAGGTTGCCTTGAAGCAGATTGTTTGCATATGACACTCTTCATTCTCAGGAACATGCAATGTAAACATTTTGGCCTCCTCCAGAGTGCTTTTTGTCAACCTGTCCGTCCGTCCTGCTCGGACTTGGCACGGTCGGAATGACTTTATCTTCAAAAGCCAGGGAGGTGCAGACCTTAGTGTAGTACATGAGCTTATAAGATGATTGTCGGTTTCGATGACAACTCAGAAGGACGAAAGGTAATTGTTTCTATCGGTCAAGTGAAACAAAAGCTTAGTCAACATGATTTTTGGCTACCTTTTGAATGTGTCGAAGGAAGAAATCAAAGAATTGCTCAGTTGTTCAAAGAAGATAAATAGAAGTAAATTGACCGAAATGTTGACCGAAACATTTGTCTTACAATTTGAGCTCAAACAAAGCATTCAACGAGCATCATTGAACTGTGCAGGTTGTATGTCACCATGTTTCCTCTCACTTTTGGCCTCAAAATTGAGCCAATCCGGTTGACCACGCGGATTACTCTATTATCTAATAAAATCAAATACGATCCAGTCGGCATCGTCGTCGTCGTCGTCATCATTGCCACTTGGGTGTCACTTTTCTGCGTGAAGATCTTCGTGTGACCGTCAGCTTTGCCAATCCTTTCCCTTCCGAACATTCGGCAGCCTAATATTGGCTCATGGCGATGCGTCCGTTGTGCGACAAGTTCTCATAAATTTAGCGATTTTTTTTTTCCAACGTCTCCATTACACCATTAGACGACGGTCGAATGAAGCCAGTGGGCACGTTCGCCAAAATATACCAGTTTCATTGTTTGGCTTGGCAGTTTGTTAGCTCTCCGCATTCGCAGTTCAGCTCAGAGCTTCCTCTCGAAAGGGGCCTGCTAACCTTAACCTAAAAAATTAATTTAATTTTGTTTAACCCCGCGGTGGCAATAACGAGCCACGTGTGAGAGCTTAACCGAAGACTCGAACACAATTGGATTGCAAGCTTGCCAAAAATGAGAAAACTTTCAGTACATGCGTAGGGTTTGGCTGAAGCCTTGAAAGCCGACAGTCGTAGGGTGAGTGAGGTTGGTTTAGGGCAAGACGTGCCTAGGAGCAGGTATGTCAGTCAGTAAATACTTGTTAGCCTTAGGTGTGCGAACGAAAACGGTGCGTGGCACGCCAGACACTTTGCGTGACAGGGCACGTAGCAGACCCGAGTTGGTGTCGTGATGTATTATTTCTAAGCTCATGGTGACTTTGTTTCTACATTTTGCAATTTCAGAGAAACATTGGCAACCATGTATTGAATTTTGTTTTGCTCGCGTGGCACTGCACTCGTCTTTCCGCAGTCGACGGCTAGGCTTACTGGTTGTCGCTTTGAATACTACATTCAACTGTCCTTTAATTGATATCGAGTTTGAGCCAAAGTAAAAGAAGATTTTTATAGCAACGCACAGTGGGGCGAATCAGGTTGTAATTGAAATTATTTTTCATGAATTTTTATATTTTTCTCAGATTTGCTGATAGATTACAGATCAATACAAAATTTCACGATAATGACTAAAAACTAAATTGTGTACATAGCAATTCTAGTGATCTTCTCAGAAATTCAATAAATATGAATAATTAATTTCAAAGGCAACATTATTTCTCATCCTTTACGATGAAAACTATCACTTTTTATGATAAAATATCTTCAAATCCATTATAAGGTTTGTTTTAACTTAGCTATTTTATTAATAAATCTCTATTTTAAATTGAAAATAATATGTAGACATCTATGCTCTTAGATGCTCTTCGTCGACTTTTTCTTTCGTTAATAACAATTTCTTATTGTGTTTATGGTAGTAGTTTTAGATAAAAGCTTCTCTTATCGATCTGTGTGCTCAAAATACCTGGGAATTTCTTTACATGGCCGAGGAGATACAAAGAGAAAGTCAACGAAGAGAATCTGTCAATGTTACTTAGGACCTAATGCAGGGCTGGTAGCAATCACTGCTGTTAAAAATAGTGATTTTAGTGACCATGTTGATGAAATAAGTGACCAAATAATAACTTATAGTTGTAAACATAGTGACTAAAAGTGACATAAGAGAAGAAAAGTAGTCGTTATGATGGTACACCAAATAAATGTTTGATGTTTTAGACTTATTCAATTAGTATCTCATAAACACTTATGTACGATATTGTTGAGTATATACAACGCAGTATGCCTTGCTTTTAGAGCATAACTTCATTTTCTTCAGTTCAAATTATACTACTGACAAATAAAGACGTTCCTTTCAATTGTAGTTCGAATAGTATTTCGAGTCCAGTCCGATTATTCCCACTTCTGCCGATAGGTTATGGGCCCAGGCAGTGCAATCGGAACTGGTGAAGATAGAATTTGAATTCGTAACGAGATGGCGGACAAGTTGATGTCGTTATCAAGGCTCAATGGATCAAATTACGATAGCTGGAGTTTCCGGATGAAGCTGTTGCTGAACAAGAAAGGAAATTGGACGACCATAGCGGACGCAAGGCCAGAAGCGGTTACAAGTGCGTGGAAGACCAAGGATGATCAAGCACTGGCATCGATTGGATTGGCCGTGGAGGATAACCCATCAATCCACATAAGGAAGGCCAAATCGGCGGTGGAGGCGTGGAAAGCTCTAGAAAAATTCCATGTCAAGAAAACGTTAACGACGAAGGTCTTTGTGATGCGGAAAATTTGTAGTCAACGCCTGGAAAAACATGGAGATATGGAAGCGCACGTATCGAAGTTGTCGGAATTGTTCGAGAAGCTCAACAATTTACAGCCGGAAAAGATCCTTGACGACCAATGGTTGGTCGCGATTTTGTTCAGCAGCCTGCCGGAGGAGTACGAGAAGTTGGTAACCGCCCTTGAAGCTTGACCCTGGATATAGTGAACGGCAAGCTCATCGATGAATGGCAGAAAAAGAAGCAGCGCAACGATGATAGCGATAATCCTGAAGCTGTTCTCTATGCAAATTCAAAGGCCGAAAAAGACCGGTGCTTCTTCTGGAAAAAGTTAGGTCACAAGAAGGCAAATTGCGAAAAGTTCAGAGTATGGAAGGCGGAGAAAGGAAACAGAGCTGTTTCCAAGCACCGAAAGGCAGTATCCAAGTAACAGAAAGCCAACCACGTATCGCAGCAAGATGATGATAGCTACGCGTTTCTCACTGGATGCAATAGTCAGATGGTTGTCCTGTGTATCTTACCTCCCTAATAAAAATTGTATGGTTAATTTGCTTAACGACGTGTTCTGGGTATCATCCAAACCATTTGTGGAATAGTTCAATGATTTGGGTTATCGTTCGTTTATGGTTATTTTTTATTAGGGCTTCAATGCACACTTCACATGCATCAGTGCAGCTGCAACACCGCTTCGCAGTCTCTGTGTCCCAATCGTCTGTGCCACGCATGCACGCAGTCATCGTTCGTCATCACCATGGATACGTTTTCGGTTGATTGACGAATTATGAACAAGTTACCAATATCTTTTCACCTTTCATGATTCTCGCTCCAGTTGCGCCGAATGTGACGACGAATCCTTTCTGCACCAGCCGCTTCACGGATAGCAAACTTGACTTCATTTCAGGAACATACAAAGCGCTTTCTATTGGAACTTCACGTAGTCGACCAGAACCATCTAGCACTAATGAGGACGGCGACTCTGGGCGGAAGACGATATTTCATCACATTCATCGACGACTACAGTAAGTACACGGTCGTTTATTTGCTACGGCAGAAGTCTGAAGCGCTCCAGAAACTGAAGGAATATGTTGAGCTAGTCAAGACGCAGTTTGGAAGGAAGCTCAAAATTCTCCGCTCGGACAGGGGTGGTGAGTTTACTGGCAAGGCATTCAATGCATTCCTGAAGCAAAACGGTATCATCGGCCAGCTCACGGCACCATACACCCCACAGCAAAATGGGGTAGCAGAACGAAAGAATCGTTACCTTGTCGAAATGGCCAGGTGCATGCTCATTGACGGACATCTGGACAAGCGTTTCTGGGGAGAAGCAGTGGTAACTGCAAACTACATGCAGAACAGGCTGCCATCACGGTCGATCAGTGGCACACCATATGAGCGGTGGTTCGGGAAGAAGCCCAATCTCGGACACATTCAGCGGTTTGGTGTGGATGAGTACTGCCATGTACCAAATGAAAAGCGAGGTAAGCTAGATCGGAAGGCTGTCAAGCTCAGGTTCGTCGGATACAGTGGACGAGACGAATGGAAAGGTAATTGTTAGCCGTGATGTTAAATTTCTTACTTCTTGCGGGCCCATGCCAGGTTCGGTGGGAGAAAGTCTGGTTGTACCATCCATCTGTTTCGAACGAGTGGACCTAATGAGTGAGCCAGGATCAACTGAATCGG